AGGGAGCTTCCAAGACAAGGATGTGGGGGAGGAAAGGTGTCGGATGAGAATGGAGGCTCTGTTGCCAGAGAGCCTGCTTTCCAGTGGTAATGCACCTCTGCAGGACTTGGCAAAGGTAAACACGAATGGTCTGTGCGATGCAGCTTCTGCTTTCTCTGGGGTTAGAGCTTACAGTCAAGAAAATTACAGCCTTTTATTTACTTAGTGGGAAGTTTCCACTTTTGACTGCTTTGCCATAACACTTGTGTGCCCATCACCCTTGTGAGTCAGGGACAGCAAGACAAGAACCTGCTCCTGTGCTTAGAGCACGAGCCTGAAGCTGGGGCACTGCTGTGGGCTTGACCCTGTCACTGACAGCATATAAATCAGCCATCAAGTTTGCGGTGTCAGTCAGTGACTCTGAAGATTACAACTCAGACTAACTAATGTTTGAATTCTTTACCAATCCCCCAAGTAGCAGAGTCAGTCCAACTCACCTCTTCCAAGTGGCTTCAAAGAGACTATTTACCCACGTCAAGAGAGCAGAACTCGATCCGTGGAAGCACACAAAAGGATTGGTGTTTGCTCTACTTGGCCAAAATTCATTTCAAAATGTGTCAGCATGAATGTAGGTGAAGTACCACTGTGAAGAAAGGAGGACATGATGAAGATCAGTGTGACAAAACCGTGTCTCCAGGACACACTGTACATGACAGCCTAACCTTTAGACCAGGCATCCTGCCCCAGCCTGCCCCAGTTATCTATGCCTGCCCCAGCCAACTCGAGACTTGTACAAAAGAGCAACTTCTGTTCTCAGAGCAGTCAGGAGAACGTAAAGCAAAACTGCTTCATTCAGCGCCAACACTGGCTTCTGTCTGCACAAGAAATGGATGGAATTGCTGCAGTTCAGTTCCAAACTACCACATGATGAGGCTGTTTTTGGGATCCCAAGAAGAGTCCAAATAGATTGGCACCTTGTTTGGGTTGGAAAGACTCGGGTTCAACGAATTTGATCAGGCTGATAATTTATAGATAATCTGTGCTTCTTAATTATCCACTGTGGGGTTTTCCAAATTCTGCATGGCAATGCCAACACATCCCCCATGCCCGTGCCTATTCAGTGCTTGCCCTCTCCTGGCCCTGTGCATTACTGCGTGTGCTGTTCCTCCAAACATTTAAGAGTTTGCAAATTTTCCTCTCCTCCTCCGTTTCAAAGCTGGCTTTCCCCACATAGGATTTTGCCCTTTGCTAGTAGGAAGGAAAAAAAAAAAACACACAACACAATTATAGGTGAAAGTTCCCCTGCTAACATCCCCAGGATATAGGCTTGAAGTCTGAAACCATGGATATTAATAAAATTGCTCTTGTTATGCTGCCTGCTTCTGGTGATCAAATCTGCCCTCAGTGGACCTGTTTTACAGAAACAGAATGAGGGTGATACAATTCACAGCTCCTGGTGTCATTAAAGCCCTTGTGCTGATGGGGAAGGAAGTCCTGCTTAGAAACACCTACTTAACAATTTGGGTGATTTTTTTCCCCTTTAAATTCCCCAAATTTGGCATTACTGGGCAAAGAAGAGATAGTGCCCTAGAAGCAACCACTGTCACCTATTTTCCCCAGCAACAATTCTCACATCTACTTGGCTATTCTTCTTAAATTGCCATCTAATTTTCAGTATAAAGAGTGTCTAAGTTATTTACTTTTTCATGATTGCAGCTGTATTATAAACCTGCAGGAAAAATAAGAGTTTTCATTCTTGTTTTAACTCCTTCAAACTTCTGAATTCAACTTCCCGACAACACACACACGACACAGAAAAAGTGTCATTTTAAGAGCATCCAGAATAAAGGTTGACATATATTTTCTTCTCACGTTCTAATAAAAAGCAAGCATATAACCATATTCTTGTAATTAGTATGTTCACTAAATACCATGTATTTTGCATCAGGTCTTGGAATGAAACCTGAAAGTAAAATAAGCACATTTCCAGATTGACTGTTGGACACAAATGAGGGATGCAATTCTTCATCACAGACCCATCCTCAGAACAACACGGAACTTCACAAATGTGACTGACGGGTGGTCTGCACACGAAAAATAACGGCAAAAATAAGCGGGGTGAACAGTGTCATTTAATTGACTTCTGCCACTACAAATCTAGGCCAGATGCAGCCCTGGATTTCCAGTCATTTAAGAAAGAGCCTCTTACAAAGAAAATCTATTTTGCAAGATACACAAGTGAAAGAGCTTGGAAGGTCACCAAACCTAAACAGTTAAAAGCAATCGCGTTTCAATTAAGTTGAACTGAAACAAACAGGCTTTAGAGAGAACGGTAAACACAGAAATGTTTCACTGAGCATTGAGATTAACAAAGACCATATCTTCTGAAATGTCTTTAAGAGCCGTCTCATCGCTGCGCAGACATGAGACATTGCACTGCATAAATCCCCAACTTCCCCACGCCAAGCCAAGCACAAAAATTAAATAGTTTTTCCCTCCGTTCGAGATTAAATAATGGCGATACGGCCATCCGAAGCGCAGTAAAAGGGAAACAAATGGATACGCGGTATTAAGAGAGTTAATTATAGATGCAGATTAAAAGGCAAGACTGAGTAGTGGAAGAAAAGGAAAGAGTAACCTCCGGCGCAGAGATACTGACATGCAGCAGTTGTCAGTCACCTAGCAACAAGTTTCCTATCCCTGCTGTGCTCTTTAATTCAGCAAATCTGCTCAGGATGTTGGGCTGTTCTCCTGACAAAACGCATTATGTAGTAGACTAAAGGATACAAAAATCCACTGTACACAACACTCTGCTCCCTATTGACCACTGATCCTTTCTCTCAACCCACAAAAGAGGCTTGCATAATGCTCTGAAAAGAGAAAAGTCTCAACAGAGAAAACATTTGCTTGTAATTGAGATTGACTACATAATGAAAATGATGTTCTTTTTTAAATTCAGCTTGTTGAGGCCATGCTTTTTGTCTCCTGGCTCTCAAAACCCATCCCTGCTGGGAAAAGGGGCAAACATTGTACAAACTCAAACCTGTGGGTTTTTTCCCTTCTTTTCACTGGAAGCACACACACGCACGCATGCACGCACATGCATTTTGTAACTAAATGGCCAAGACCAGCTCCTAAAGACTTAAACAAGTTTGAAAAGAGAGAAGACAAATAGGAAAATTGTTGTGCGTTTCAGCATCGGAGGAAAGCTGCCTTACTTCTGAAGGAATACTGGGGTGGGGAAAGCTGAATATGTTTTGTAATTGTTTTGACTAGCAGGTACTGCTCTCTGAGAAGAAAAGTTGTTTTATTCATGAGTCCGTGCAGTAAATTATAAGCAAAAACAGGAACAATCTGTGTGCCCACATAAAGTCTGGGCTGTGCTTTGAGATAATGATTACCTAAATACAAAGAATAAGCAGGGTGTTCAGCTTAAAAGACCGAAGTCTTGACCCAGCGAACTCTCTTCCAGTCTGTGGCAGAAGTCTGGGGGAGTGCTTCTCAAGAGGAAAGGCAGTGCGGTGTCACTGCTGCCACCACCAGGATAGCTGGTGGTAGCTGGGTGTCTTGTCCTATGTCTTAAACCTTGGTTGGTCTTCTTCAGAAGACAGTAGCAAGAGGGAGGAAGGAAATAAGGGAGAAATTATAGCCCTATCCAGCTCACATGGGTGCCCACAGCAAATTCAGCAGAAGAAAACAAGCCCTCTGAAGGCTCTGGGATTTGACCCTAATTGGCACACTGAGCTCTTTGGGATGGAAATGGTTCATTTGTCCTCTGTATAGCACCTAAGGAAGCAGAGGCCTGGCATCTGAGAAGCTCCAGAGGTGCAGGTAATGGCACTAGCACATGACAAACCTTTCTGTTGATGTGGTCCAGCTGACTCAACAAGTGTGAAACTCCAGCTAAATGAGTGGTAGCCTCAGAAATGATCTGGAGTCCCTTACAGAGTAAGACTAGTCAGTATGTCAGTGTGGAGCATGAGGTTCATGTCCCAAACCATGACAGCAGAGAAGGGCGAACTGGTCCCAGAGAGCTCCAGGGCACAGCACAGGTAGAAAATATCAGGAAAACCTGATTTCCTCAGGATCCCTTCCCTTAGAGAAGGGATAAAAGGCAAGGGCCATGGTTTAACTACTGGGTGTTTCCAGAGGTAATAAAGTACTTACCCTGCTTGTACCTGTAATGTACAGATGCTCATTCCTGCCCAAATGCTCCCATTCCTTTCTGGGGCTGAGCTAAATTCAGTTGGGGATAAATTGAAAATAGATATATCTTATTTAATAACTTACACCAGATCCTTTTTTTTTTTTTTTTTGTACTTGGTGTGGGCTGAGCCAATGGCCAATTGGTGTGGGCTTTTCCTCAGGGTTTCATCTCACAGAATAATGATAAAGGGTTTAAATACTAAATACTTAATAATAAGAGAGATAGGTAAGCACTAGCTTTAGTCTCTGGGTTACTGAAACATGTTTAACAATTTCTCTTCTATATCAGTGCTTTTGCTGATCTAACATTTATTCTCATTTTGTTTGTTTTATATATCAAATAACAAGTTGATTCTTTGTTTCCTTTATTTTAATAACCATGGCTCTGAAGATATGGAGGGTTAATAACAACATGAGTATAACGCACCTGTTAAAAAATAATGGATTGGGAAGGGCTGCCATGAATATATTGTGTGCCCACAACCAAGAAAAAGTAGAGCTATATATTTAAAACCTTCCCTCTTAAAAATGATTGCTTCTCTGAAACCAATCAGTTCATTTTTAAATTTTTATTGCCTTTTTTAAGCAAAACCAAAATTTATTTTCAAGATAATTTAAACCAATGAATTAAAACTTAAGGATTAACTTCATGAAGCTGGGAACAATCAGAAGATAATGTGTAACAGTAGGAAAGTGGGTTATATGAAAACCCCAAAGAGTTGTTAAAAACATGAAATAATAGAAGGTTTAGAGAAGTCCAATGGAATTAAAAAAAAAAAAAAAAAAAAAGGAAGAAAAAAAAAAAAGCAGAAGACATGAATAACTGTGGTACTGGTAAAATACATCTTATTATCTCCAAAACCAGTATAGTGTTGTTTACAGTAGAACTTAAGACCCCCTGTCACTCAGAGAGTGCTGACAGATTTCGTATAGGAGTTTCAAAGAAAAAGGAGTTGGATCAATCATAGAATATACAGGAGTCCAGACTGCTCAAAAAATGAAAAAAAAAAAAAAAAAAAAGGTGAATATTTAGGCTAAGAAGTAACTCCTAGCAGTACAGAATGAAGAGAACACATAGAAGTGTTTACACCTATTTCTGGAGCTTTGCAAATATATTCAACAGAGATATTTGTTTTAAATCTACCTACAAGAACAACCTGTGTAAATCCTGGCTGAGCTTAAATCTGTGCAGCTCCTTCCCTGCCAAGCCAGTGCACACCAGCTGCGAAAGGGACCTGGTATTCTAAAAACAGAATTTCTGCTATGAAGGATATTAATTTTCAAGTATAATTTTTGGAAAAGTTTTATCTTGGAAAAGATAAAATTAAAGTGGACACCGGGGTCAGTGCAGAATAGTTGGATCACATCCCACCAAAAATAGGAATCGCAAG